AGCAATTGGTTAAATTTAAGTTTAAATTAAAAATTGCCCTCGCGAATCTAAAATAATACCCCAGGAAATCAATTCCAGGGGACAAAAAGTTAATTTCTGACCCTGGCTCACACTGCAGTTTAAGTTTTTTGAACGTTTAGTTGCTTCACCTCATAATTTGGACATAGATGTTGTACGTGATGCAACAGACATGCAACAGACACTGTTTGAACATTGCTTAATTTGTCTCTTCAAATGGCCTCCGTCCGATGAACTCTCTACAGCTCTAGTCAGTGTCTGTCTGTAAAGATTTAAATCACGAATCTGGTCTGACACACAGCTATGCAAATGGATGAGCTTAGCATCCTAAGGGTGCTTGTGAAGATTGAGCAAATGGTATTTTGCCCTGCAAAAATGGTTTGTGATATAATCAGTAATGTTGAAGTTTATCCAACAGATCATTGCACATATGAAATGAACATTATATAATGCTGACAGCACAACTTTTTTGATAACGCCGAGGTGAAAACTAGTGACATTAGCTGAACTTGGCATTTGATATTTGCTATCCTCATACAGTTGAACATACTGTGTGTCTAAAATCACCTCCATGTAGTGTTTTCCCCTCTTCTTCTCTATTTTGTCATAAATACTCTTGGGATTCTCTTGCAAACACGTCTCGTTTTATTCAGCCAGCTGCATCTCTTGTATCCCTGTGAGGGCTGATCCAAATGCTGTCTAAAATGGCTTACATATATAATATGTAACAATCATAAGGAACACTGTGCCTTTAAGACATCCATATTTGGCTTGTATATAATATTGTGCATTGTTGCTTTTTTATTTGTTGTGCCCAGAGGGGGTGCAGACATGACCCCATTCCCATTCCTTTTATAAAAGCACATTTTTATCACTAATCACTAACCCTTGTGGACTTCATAGCAGTCTTACTAAGACAGACAGACAGACGGATTTCCTTTTTCTTTTCTTTATTCCTCACATTTGTGTTTATGTAAATGCATAGGCCTACAGATACACTGAATCTGTGAAGATTATGCCAGTGAAGACCTCAGGATGCAAGTTCAAAGAGCTGAAATACGTTTTAGTATTGTACTTAAAGTACAGTTTATTGTAGATTCCCATTTGTGCACGTTTGATGCTAGCATATTTCAGTGAAATGGGCCTTTGTTTCATCACCAACAAGCAGCATGGATGCTTTTTATCTTTTCTTTTTGTTGCATCTAAATGTAAATCGGCCAAGTTTACATGGCAAATCTATGAAGCAACTCCTATTTGCTAAATGTTTTATAAATATTGATGAAATTGGACTTGGAAATCACTGCTGCTGACTCTGCAAAAATATTCAGCAGCTCTTTATATACAATCCAGTACCCTTCTCTGGTACTCTAATGTTTAGAAAACACAAATCACCTGCATAAATTCAAACAAAATGCATGGAACATTTAGCAGCACAGAGCTACCTTTCACATGTTAACCTATGTTTTCCCATCCGATCGTGTTACAGGCTGCAGGCTCGGGATTGGGCACACCTCTAAATTATCCCTTTTTCTATTGGCTGGGCGCTTCAGGCAGAACGGATGTCTGACTTGTGATTGGTTCGCCTTTCCGTCTGTCCATGTTGCTTTCTCTCGTGCTGCGGTCTCGGCTGATGTGAGACCAGCTTTAGGAACCAATAGAATAGAAGACATGCTAATGAGTCAGATATTCATCCGCCAAAGCCTAACAGTAATGCTTTATCCAAGACCTTTTAAATGGTAGTGGTCAAGTATTATATACAGTATTCTACGTAAACAAGAATCTATGTAACACTTTTAGAGGCTCTTGAATGTTACTTTTAATTGTTCTAAATTCTATAACAGGAATAATGCGTATTTCTTATCCTTATATGTTTTATTAAATATAGTGTAATCGCGATAAATGCAGTCTGAAGTTCAAAATAACTGTTATTTAGACTTTATTCTATCACCCTTATTAGTTGGCATCACTTAATCGTTTTAGTTTATGAAGTTTATAAATAAATAACTGATGCTCCATCCGTGAACAAATCGTTCTTTTCAATCAAATGAAGAATCGGTTCACAAACACCGTTCTGAAAGATTCGTTCGCTGACTCACTGAACCGATAACAGTTCTTCCTGAACAGATTCGACTCATATTGGCTTGAGAACTGTCGAATGAGTTTATAAGCCCTATATGTGACCCTGGGCCACAAAACCAGTGTTAAGTCGCTGGGGTATATTTGTAGCAATAGCCAAAAATACAATATATGGGTCAAAATGATCGATTTTTCTTTTATGCCAAAATCATTAGGATATTAAGTAAAGATCATGTTCCATGAAGATATTTTGTAAATTGCCTACCGTAAATATATCAAAACTTAATGTTTGATGAGTAATATGCATTGCTAAGATCTTAATTTGGACAACTTTAAAGGCGATTTTCTCAATATTTAGATTTTTTTGCACCCTCAGATTCCAGATTTTCCAATAGTTGTATCTCGGGTGTTGTATCTCAAAAAACCCTTATGACTGGTTTTGTGGTCCAGGGTCACATATAAGATATATATCGTATGAACATTGTAGTGTACCAAAAACAAAATTTAGAGTATTTTATTTATGCTTTTACGTGTTTATTATTTTGTTTTTAATGAGCTGAATAATTTATGCAATAAAGAGAACTGGGTCAAATTGTATTACAAACAAACAAACAAACAAACCTTATTGCCCTTTAAAGGTGTTTTAAAAAGCGTTTTAAAAACGCAGTATATTATTATGTGTTT